CGGCATTCGACGGCAGAGTCGTGCTCAGAGCGGACGGCCTCCGTCTCGGTGAAGCGCCGATCCAAGCGGGCACCGAGACCGTCAAACTCTGAGCGAAAAGCGTCGAAGCGATGAATCAAATCGTCGAACATCTGGCGGACCACTGGATCCATGGCGCTGCGGGTGCGTTGAAGGCGAGTGAAGTGGGGATGGACGGGTGGGAGGATCTCCAGCACGCGCGGTGGCCGGGGATCGACGGCTCTGGTACCAGTGTTAGCCGACGAGGTGGCGGACGGCCGGGCTTGGGAAGGAAGAACAAGGAACTACGATGTATATTGACGGAAGAGTGTTGGCGATAGCCAGAAAACAATACAGTAGTTCATTCGATAGCCCTCACGACTCCTTCCTTGCCTCCTCTTATCTCACTCTGTCTTGGGCCTTTCATTACAAGACACGCAAGCCCATTCCGGCCCAGACAACTTCACGTTGCTTGCTCTCTTCCTCTTAGGCCTTGGCGCTACCGACGGGTCCCTAGGGTGAGGTCTGCTGACAAGCTGGGATGTACCGGGTGTCTGACGTTATAATGGTGCAGAGCGTAGTGCACCTGCGGAATGATGAACAAGTCGCGCTCCCTGCATTTTATAACATTCAAAGAAGCATGCCATTGTATTGAGTAACTAGATTGATGTCAAGTTGATACTAAGTTATACTATTTATTGATAGTAGCTCCAAGTAACAAGCAAATAGAGAAGAAACCGGCCCGGACTTGGAGTGAATGGAAATTATACTTTATTGTGGAGCCAACAATTTCTCATTATAATAACAAAATTTATAGGACCCAACTGATAAACTAAAATAGTTTAATTGTTTTTTTTAAAGAAAAGACATGGTATGATCTCGTTATAAACTGTCCCTAGCTAATCTTCTATCATATGCATCAAAGGGAACTACATCACAAGCAACCGCTTATATATAACAACAAAGCTTATAGTTATAGCAAATGCATTAAATGGAGGATTCAATCGGAGAATATATCACGATTTTGTTTGGAAATAAAAGTTATCAGACGTACCCGATGAAATTTCTGTGTGCAAAGAGAGAGAGAGAGAGAGAGAGAGAGAGAGAGAGAGAGAGAGAGAGTCGATGAAAAAGTTGAGAGGGCCGGGCCTACCGTACCGTTCTCAGGACACGAGAGGTAACGGAGGAGATTGCTTGTTACTCCAGATGCGCTCGCGTTTGCGGCGTTGGTTTTGCAACGTACCGCAGCTGCTCCTCGCGGGACAGATCCGGCAGCAGCTCTTCCATCGCCATCGCCTCCATCGAGCTCATCCGATGCTTTTGTTTCTCTGTTGGGGCCTACACGATCCAGCCCAACAAGAAAAAATGCAGCTCTGTTGGGGCCCAACCCAAAAAGCAGAAATCTCGGGTGACCAGCCCAACAGAACAGCAGCAGGTCTCCTCACCTTCCCTGCCTGACCACCTGATATTTCTTCCCTTCTTTCCCCAGCAGCAGCAGGTCCCCAATCCCTTTCCCTTCACGGCTGGCTGCACTGCACGCTCTTGGCCGGAGGAGCCCCGGCGCCAGACTCGCCGAGTGCCCGAGCCGCAGCAGGCCCGCCCCTCTGCTCTGCCTACGCGAGCCACTCCAGCCACCACGCTTCTCCTCCACCGCTCTTTCATCTCCTCCACCGCTAGCGCGCCGCACTCCTCCCAAATCACTGTGCCACGCCCACGCCCACGGAGAAGGCAAGGAGGCAGCAGGGACGTCAACGGCAACGGCAACGGCAACGGCAACGGCAACGGCGTGGAGCTGCCGGCTGCGTCTGCGGCCCTCGCTTCCAGGCTCCGCGGCGCTCACGTTCACCTCCTGCCTCCCTTCCGCCGCTGTTTTTGCTGTCGGCCGGGTTCTCCACGGCCCGACCCCAACTTCAATCAGGTGTAAATATCCACAATCCGGCGTTGCATTTGCATTGCAGTGCAGGGACCAACAATCGCAGAATCCGAGGGAAAAGGGAAGATGATGACTGCCTCTTGCTACATCTGCCGCTCCGTCGTCCGTGTTCCTCCTCCGCTCAGGTCCAGGACTGCAGTGCGCTGCCAAAGCGCCGCGCCGCCAGGTGCCACCTCCACCTCCACCTCCAAGGTAACCCACTACGTGTGCTTCACAATTTTTATACCTGGAGCCACCAGCGGAGGGATATGTCGTATGTAGCTTCTTTGGGATAAAATAATAAAGAGTGGGGGGTCATGTATAAGCTTAAACTACTGATTCACTTGTCTATCTGGCGCTGCTCGGTTCTCGTGTGTGAAGCTTGTCCTAGAGGTGAAAGAACGGCTAGCGAGGGAGCATCCAGGCCTCCCCACGGGCAGGAATGGGAGAGACGATGACGACATGGTCCTCTGGTTCTTGAAGGACCGCAAATTCTCTGTCGATGAAGCAGTCTCCAAGCTCACCAAGGCAATTGTATCCTCATGTTTGAATTTATTAGATGTTCTCACACATTTTTGTTAGAGGGGTTTACATCCTTGGTCTTTGAACCAATGTGCAATTTTGATATATAAAGTTATACCCTTCACACCTCAAGCTGATATTTACCAATATGCAGTTTCGATATAAACTGATACCCTTCACACATCAAGATTCATGTTTTGCAAGATCATGGGAAACCTAATAATTTACTCACTAAACTCCTGGTATTGTAACAGAATCTATATAATCATTGGTATCTTCAGCTTTCCTTTCAACTGCATTAGAAATGGCGCCAGGATTTTGGTGTTTCAGAGTTATCAGAAGAATCAGTGAAAGGCCTCTACCAAACTGGCAAGGCATATGTACATGATTCTTTGGACGTTTACGGCAGACCTGTGCTAGTTGTAGTGGCAGCCAAACATTTCCCTTCGGTGCGTTCCTTTTGTTTCCCAATCTTGATTTGGAAATGTTCAACAGGGATAGTGGCTACACATACAGTGTTTCCAATTTTTAGAATAGCACAAAGAACAAAAGAAGACAGCGTGTGGTGGCAAACTATCAGTATTACTTCATAGCAGCTCCAAAATTAAACTACATGGCTTAGCTAGCTGACTTGTAACTTAAAGATATCTCTTGTATTCGACAAGCATTTGCTCTTAGTAATACTGATGATCCATGTATAATATGCTACTGCAGACACAGGATCCAGTTGAAAACCAGAAGCTATGTGCCTATTTGGTTGAGAAGGCAGTAAGCAGACTTCCCTCAGGAGCAGAGAATATACTTGGAATCTTTGATCTGCGAGGCTTTCGTGTTGAAAATGGTGATCTCCAGTTCCTAAAGTTTTTGGTAAGTTTGATAGCTTCAAGGCATGACTAAGAATCTCTGATTGCCTTTTGTGCTGTTCAGCGGCAGACATGCATACTTTTATTTGCGATGATATAAAAGAATGTGAAAAGAGAGCAGTGTAATGCCACAGGAAAACATTAGTAAATCATTCATGTAATGTATACATCATCCATTGCAAGGAGTAATTCCAAGCAATAAACTATTTCTACATACGAAAACTGTGATGAGGCACACCAATTAGAAAAGACAAATGGCGTGTTCATGATCTCAGATGGCAAAAGAACAAGTTTATCTAATGGATTAATTCAAATCACATATGGATTTCCTGCTATATGCTGCAACTATTATATATATCTAAACATTTTTTTTTTGGTATATGCATCGCATAATTAATGCCCCTCCCATTCCCAGATTGATGTTTTTACTATTACTACCCAAGCGGCTTGGCCAAGTTCTTTTTGTCGATGCTCCATTTGTTTTTCAACCAATGTGGCAGGTTGTCAAACCTCTGTTGAAATCATATGCCTCCCTGGTATGCTCTCCCTCTCTCTTAGGTTAGTGCTTCATCAAACGATATGGATAATCTTACAATCAACTGCTATGTTACCCCTGCTAGGTAAGATTTTGCGATGCCGAGACTGTGAGAAAGGAATACTTCGTAGAAGAAACTGTGCCTCCTGATTTCCGCAATTAGGTGCCACGATTATTTCTTCAGTAATTGCAAGTCAGTTCTACCTCTGCTTTTGTGCCACGATTAAAGTTCTAAACTGTGCAGATTATTTTTAGTTCTTCCAATCTCTCCTAAAAACTATTTTGCAGAAATGTGCAGGTGGTTTCGGAAACATGGCCTTTAATTCATCGAGAATGGATTTGGCACCCAGGGTGGGCTGGCGCCTTCCCTATCTGTACCGTTGGATTAACTTCTCAAAAGTTGCTGAGACGGAGACTAACGGCAGCAAACGTTTGGAGGGTCCAGTAAAAGAATGGCCACTATACTTGTATAACTTCTGTGGAGCAGAATGCTCTGTTTTAGGCTGCTATCTGGAATGGTCCTGTACCATTTTTTTTCTGGTCTTGGATGAAGCTATATATGGACTTCATCCATCTCCGTTGAACAATTGCCAATTACATAACTTGTGTATGCCCAATTCCATACATGGATTCCATTTTTTTTAATCAAAGTTCTGTCTGCTATAAAATTGAATCATGGCTTAGTTTGTAGTTGTAGACTTCATAAAGAAACACAAACTAATCAAACCAGCTTTTGAAGAGTCTGCTATGGATAGGAAAGTTACAAAGCAAAATAAGATACAAAGTTGTATTACATAAAAACCAGGTATGCATCAAATCAGTTGCATTCATAAAAATCAGGTATACATCAAATCAGTTGCATTCTGGAAAACTAATCTGCAACAAAAGAGAAAAAAATCGAGCAAGTGGGCCCGGTGGCACGAATCATGGAGCACAGAAAAGACCAAAGAAACATTGTTGCAAAAGACCACAGCCACTTGCTTCTCATCTCCTTTCTCCTCGGACTCCTCCGCCTTCCACTCATCTTTCCCCCTGCCGTCGTGTATCATCTCCGGCCAGGCCGCCTTCATTCCTCTCCCTCACCTCCGCCTCCGGTCCGGCCGCCTCCACTTTTTGCACCCCAGAAGCGTACATCACTGTGTAGCTGCTGCTGCTGCTGCTGCTGGCCGCCATGGCCACTACAGTCATGGCCGCGGCCGTCTCCTTCCCGTCCTCCTCGGCCGCCTCTACGGTCGTCAAAGCGTCGCCAACGTCGCCCTGTACCGCCCCACACTTCCTCTCCTACCGCCCGAGGGCCGCGCGGGCCGCCATCCGGGCGCAGGCGTCCGCCACTGACACCGCCGTCGAGGCGCCCGCCAAGTCCAAGAAGGAATCCAAGAAGCAGGAGGAAGGCGTCGTCACCAACTTGTACAAGCCCAAGGAGCCGTACATAGGCAAGTGCCTCCTCAACACCAAGATCACCGGCGACGACGCGCCGGGTGAGACGTGGCACATGGTCTTCAGCACCGAAGGTAGGTTACTCTTGTAGTCTTGTTGGTTTGTTTGTGCTCAGTTCCTTCGTCCCACGATGACAGGTGCCCAACTGTTGTACACGCACTGCACGCAGGCAAGATCCCGTACAGAGAGGGCCAGTCCATCGGCATCATCGCTGACGGCGTCGACAAGAGTGGCAAGCCGCACAAGCTCAGGCTCTACTCCATCGCCAGCAGCGCTCTCGGCGACTTTGGTGACTCCAAGACAGTCAGTAGTCCTCTCCTCTGCTCTCTCTGAACCAACCATTCTCCATCATTTTCTTTATGAGCATTTCTTTCTGGCGAGACGAGCAAGGCAGAAATAATCGCCTGACTTGTGCTTCATCTGCAGGTCTCACTGTGTGTCAAGAGGCTCGTTTACACCAACGAGGCTGGAGAGATCGTCAAAGGAGTCTGCTCCAACTTCTTATGTAAGTCTCGTCACTTTCCGCCTGCGCTGCGCTGCATTTCGTTCTTCTTCTCTGCATCTCCTCCTTCTCAAGAATTGATTTCTTAGAATAGAAGTCGTCAGAATTCAGATTTTGACATCTGATTCTCATGACACCGGCTTTTACTGAATGTGGATGACACTGACTTTACTAGCTGCTTCATTATCTTCCTTTAAAAAAAAAAAAGTTTTCCTCTGCTTTTAAGAAAGCAATATAGTTTGATACAAAGTCTGCTGGGATTGCCAGATCTCCAAACAAAACCTAAAGAAGGACTCTATTACAGCTTAGATTTCAACAATGTCTGAATCTAGAACAGCCAGAGCGTCCACTCCAACACGATCGCCATTATCTTGCCAATCCTGTCTTTGTCCACCGGCTTAAGCAGTACCAGCCACTTCTGCAAAAAGATTAAAGCACGAAAAATAATCTCAGAAGGCTTATCCAATTTTTTTTCAATAGCCATCTTATTGCGCGCCTCATTATTTTCTTCTTGTGCACAGTTACTGTCCCATTAAATCAATGGTACCCTTGGCCTTCACACATTACTGTTATATTTAATCCACTAATCCTGACCTGACTTCATTGAACTGACACGGTACCAAAATGGAAGCCTTAGAACGAATGTGGTCCTATACCAGCACCGTGTTGTGGCATCCATCCATAATCCTCATTTCATTGACATGTATCTGGATCTGCGCATTATATATGATCCTTCACTTTAAGGTTGACACCTGAATGCCTGATCCAACTTGTTCCCCTGTGCTCATATCATTATGCAGGTGACCTGAAGCCAGGTGCTGACGTCCAGATAACAGGACCAGTTGGCAAAGAAATGCTCATGCCTAAAGACCCCAACGCTACTATTATAATGGTAAGCTTGAGAGCCAACTCCTGTTGATCAGTGCCTAATAACTGACGACAGCCAGAGATTTCACAGTCATGCCAATTGCTTCCAGCTTGCCACCGGTACAGGTATTGCTCCGTTCCGCTCGTTCCTGTGGAAGATGTTCTTTGAGAAGCATGACAACTACAAGGTACAGCGGTGTTCTACTTTATCCCGGCAGTATCAAACTAAAACCACCCATCTCTCTTAAAGTAAAGTTCACAGAGAAAGACTAAACAAAGGAACAATGTGTTAACTCTTGTGCAGTTCAACGGTCTGGGATGGCTCTTCCTGGGTGTTCCAACGAGCAGTTCATTGCTCTACAAGGAGGTCAGTACATCGATCTCTGCTGTTTTCATGAGAAACTGCACAAGTGCTACTCTCCTCTTATTTGTTTTCATGCAGCACTCAACCTATCTAGTTGCACTGTATTTGTGAATGGACATTATTCAGGAGTTTGAGAAGATGAAGGAGAAAGCGCCAGAGAACTTCCGGGTTGACTACGCCGTCAGCAGGGAGCAGACAAATGCGGCGGGGGAGAGGATGTACATCCAGACCCGGATGGCGGAGTACAAGGAGGAGCTGTGGGAGCTTCTGAAGAAGGACAACACCTACGTCTACATGTGTGGGTTGAAAGGCATGGAGAAGGGTATTGATGACATTATGGTGTCACTGGCTGAAAAAGACGGTATATATACTAGATAATCTTTTGAACCTGTTATCTTTAATTTGAACCATTCTTGCTGTGAAGTTAATGGTGCTGACTTGTGTTGCATTGCTTGCACAATGTCAGGAATTGACTGGTTTGACTACAAGAAGCAGCTGAAGAAGGGAGAGCAATGGAATGTGGAGGTCTACTGACTGTTCAATTTTGCATCTGACATTTGTGTTTTGTGTATCTGTACGTGAGGCCAAGGTGTACTGCGTATATAATGTAGATAGTGAGTTTGTTCTGTGTTTTACTATGCTTGTTTCTTTTGGGTTTTATATGTACTCTTGTATTATGTCTATTCAATTTTTGTTATGAGTAATGTCATCAGTACACATGAAAAGAGTGATGAAGTGGCTCAGAATTTCCGTCCCCACAGATTTTTGGTAAAGCCCTTGTAGATATTTTTTTTTTTTTTTACTTTTGGTTTATGTCAAATGCAGGAAATTTTATTTTACATTGAAATTGATATCTACACAATGAACACTTGCCCTTGACAACCAACATAGTTACACAACAAAGTTACAATAGCATATCCGTACTGTCTTTTTTCTGCACATTTCTTGGACCATTTTTTGTGCAGTAAATAAATATACTAATGCAGACGCATACAAAGTTACAATAGCATATCCGTACTGCTTATATTTGCAGAAAAATTCTGCTCTCCAGTATTGCCCACACTCTACTCTGTATTTCTCCAGAGGCCTACAAAATGGCTAGCTGGTAGTAGTGGTTCAGTTATGTGATGTTGCTATCATCAGTAAGTAGGAGTACTGTATTTAAGACCATTCTACTGTTTGGATTAGAATCCAAACACTTTGTTGGCACCAGACTGATCGATCTGAGAAGGAAGGAAGGAACATTGCCCACCCTGAGACACCAAAAGGAAAAAGAAAAGGAGCCAGGCAGAGATCTTATTGCTGGGACTGTTACAACCAAACGACCAACAGTCAGAGGATGCTGCTGTCCGTCTTCAGTTGTGCTGCACTTGCTGCTGCTCTTTGTCAGCAGCGTCTTCTTCAACCTTTGGAGGAGGAGGACAGTGCAGGGCCTCCTGCCTCTTGCCCCACAGCAGAAGGTACAGGCCACCTATCACTAGCACTGATCCCAGCACACTGCAGGCACAAAGGGCACCGGAGGAACAGAGCAGAGCAGAGAAGGTGACTTCACTTTCGATCAGGTGGATTGGATTCAGACATTCAGTGATGACATGGTATGGTACCGTGAGTGTCCGTACGTACCTTCCGAGGTAGAGCTGCTCATGCAGGATGGAGAAGTCGATGACGGAGACGATGATCTGCACCACCGGTATGAAGGCGGCGACAAACACGGCTCCCCTCTTCTCGATGCACCATGTCACCAGCACGAAGGAGACGCCGCAGCCGACGATGCCCTGAGAAAGTGAGGATCATTCATCAGAATGATAATGGAGCTAGCTAGTTGAGAGTTTCAGACTTGAGAAATGATGAAGCCGTGTGATGCATGGCAACGAGGAGACTGAAATAAACAAGGAACAGTGAGTGAGCAAAGCAAGCAGGTACGGCGTATAGGACGGTGAGGATGTTGAACTTGCTGGTGATGATCCAGGGGGAGATGCTGCGCTGGGTGCAGAGGCCGACGACGGCGACCTGGAGGAAGCTGATCAGGGACATGAGCGCGTTGCAGGAGTAGACGTGCGGGTACTTCTTGGCGAGACGGCCGTGGAGCAGGAACCAGCAGGACAGGCAGACGCAGTTGCCCAGGATGGCCACGGTGCCCAGCGTCCACTTGGCGCGGCTGGCGGCGTCGTCCGCGGCGGCGTGCGGCCGGAGGTGCTGGTGGTGGTTCTGTGAGTCCGCCGCCGCCGCGTGGGTGAGCGCCACGCCTTTGTAGAGGGTGAGCACCATGGCGCCGGCCAGGGACACCAGCGTGCCCAGCAGCTTCGCCATGCCCGTTCTGCTCTTCAGGTCCAGCGCCTCTGACCGCGTGGCGACGGCGAGGAGGAAGGTGAGCACGGGGGCGATGTTGGAGAAGGCGGTCACGAAGGTGGCCGTGGTGTAGCGCAGGGCCACGAAGATCATGTACTGACGCAGAGCTGCCCTGCAATGGCGCAGGTTGGTTCATCAATGTGCTATAGCTTCATGAGATGAGCTTCGTTCTCGCTCTTTTGTTTCAGATTCAGTCATGAGAATTGAAGCAGCTTCTTCATGAATATGATACATACCCGAGCGCCGCACTGACGAAGATGTAGGCGAAGATCTCCAGCGTCAGCTTCGGCCTCGACTTCCTGAAATTCAAATCGATGTCATTCAGGGAGACTTGCAGTTGCGGCAGCAAAAGACAGTCTCATGAAAACGAAAGACATGCTGAGCTGAGCTTGCAAAAATTAGTACATAAAATAGAATGCATATATACCCATGCTCGCAACCAGAATTTTCTACTTCTCCTGGTGTGGTGGGATTCTCCTAGTATTTTAGTATTTAAAATTTAGTATAAACTTTTCCTATCAAATACTTTCTAACGAGGATTCCATATATTATAACCAGTGGTAGTATTTTACTACTGCTTAGAAACACTACGAGAATTCCACTATTTTTGCAGGGGCTGCTTTCCTCTCCTTGAAGAATGCGATTGGCGCGAGGAAGACGGCGGCGGTGAGCTGCTGCAGGGTGACGATCACGAGCGGGTTCATGCCGCCGTTCATGGCCACCTTGACGAGCGATACCATGACCGCCGCCACCACGTTGAGGCAGAACATGACCGCCACCGGCAGGCCACCGCCGAGGCAGGACCGCATCATCACCATCGTCGTCGTCGTCATCATACCCTCTCTTCTCCACTGTCCACCACCACCCGGCCCTTGCTTGCCTCTGCTCGTTCAGCAGGCGGCGGAAGGTCTTTTATAGTGTGGCTCGCCGGCCCCGAGTCCCCGACCAGGCGATGCGAATTGCGATGCGACCCGGGCGGCGGCCCTCCCTCTCGGCCTCTTGAGTTGGCGAACGGCGAGGTAGCTAGACACGATGGCTTCAATGGATCGGTGAGGAGGAGGAGGACGCGGCAGGAGGGATGAGATGCAATGCAAGTATGCAGCGGGATGGAATGCGGTAATGCGATTATGCAGGGAATCGTTTCAGGTACGCCTTTTTTCTCATCTTCTGACGAAGGGAAGGAAAAAAGGAAGGAAAGAAAAGATGGGTGAGATTGGTTACAGAAACCTAGCTGCCATAGCTGCTCTGCTGCTGCTGGGGTAGTCTCCGCTCCGAGCAGTGAGTGCAAGGGAGCTGTAGCACGTCTCCCTTTATTTCTCTCTTGCTGATTAGCTTTTGGTGTGTGGGCAATGATGCAGTCGCCATTGGTATTGGCCTGCCTGGCCACACACCCAGCCAGACCCAGCAGCAGCAAAGCACTGAACACAAATGAGTATGTGGCCACCTCTCTTTCTTTCTCAAAGGCGCCCTTGCCCCTTTATTTGTCACTGTTTGACATGGTTGATATACATACATATGCCTTTATCTGCTGCACTTGCAATGATAAGTATACATAGCACTTTGTGTCTTTGATAGAGATATATACCGAGCAGGTTATTGTGTGTACATATAAACTTGTCCCACGTTCTCACTCTAGTCCTTTTACTCGTAGATTGTACGTAAGACTCCTTAAACTTATACTGCCTCCCTAAACTTATACTATTGAACTCTCTAAACTTGTTCTAAGTTCTCATCTCGGTTCCAATACTTGAAAAATACACACTCAATTCTATAAACTTGTACTATTGTACCATCCCGATCCACCCCCACACCCCACCACCACCGCACTGTGTTGCATGCGTCCACCGCACCCGCATGGTCGCATTGCGTAACACCGCGTTCGTCCATCCCATAGCGTCGTAGGTCGTAGAGCATGGGGGATGGGACGTATGGTCAGGTCTCAGGCACGATGTACCGACCTACAGTGGTGAAGTTAAAGCAAATTAGAGGGGTACGGTGTGCTTGCCCAATAGGTTTGAAGATTCGAGTTACAACCATGGTGACCCTAGTATTGGTTGGGTTTTTTTGCATCTTCACTCACAACCTATAACATAGCTTCGCCACAACTGATCTAGATTTCTAGGACCTGCCACACACGCTTGGGCACCCATACCATGTTTGTCCTACTGCACGTTACGAGCCTTCACCGTCGTGGCCCTCCTTGCTTCTGCTCGACTCTCTCCTGCTCCACCTTACTGCGGTGCTCGCCCCCACATCATGGCAGTTGCACTTGACTCTGCCACCATTACCACCACACTCCTTCCTCTTCCCCATGGCGCAGAAGCTCGTTCTCGTTCTCGCCATATCCTTGCACCTGTTTCCCACCCTCCTAGCTTTCTTCGCCTCCCTCAACAAGGGCAAGGCCATCACTGCGGCCAGGTAGGGCAAGTGTAGCGCACGGCATGGTAGCGTGGGTGGGTACAACAGGGCCTAGCATAGCAACGTGGGTGCGGCATCACGCCGAAAAAGAAACGCTCACATGCATGAGGTGATAGGGCGAGCACAGTGCAACATACAGGTGAGGCGTGCGTGTGCGATTTGGTGGAGGCAAGGACTTGGTGGAGGCAAGGACGTGCGGGGTTGAGTGTACAATTTGTAATTACTAGGACCAGGGTGCAAACTCGGGACAGGTTTAAAGAGCAGCAATTTTGTGAGTACCAGGTTAGAATGAGAACTCGAGACAAGTTTAGGGGTCCGAACATGCAATTTACAAGTAGCAGCACCCAAATGAGAACTTTTTTGAACGAAAAGGTAAAAGCTCTTCCACTCACTTAAGAATATGAAGAGCACCTAGTCGGAATTTGGGAGAAGTTTAAGTAACACTAGTGATATCTACTATGTATATATTATACTCCTCTTTTCACTAGCTCTGCTTGACATGCAGAAGCATCTGATCTGTAGTTGATGAGGCAGAGAGGCACACACATCATCACGTATATAAGAAGCCGTTAAAGTGAGCGAGTGAGCAAGGGAATATAAGCATAGCATTTCTGCTCTCCTGCATGCACTCGTGGAGCTGGAATAATCAGCTGAAATATAAAAACCTTAAACTACTACTAGTAACATTTACCAGAAAACTTTATGAATGATTGGATCCCTTGTGGCGTCATGTTGTCGGCGAAACATTAGATTATTGTTATACGAGC